TCTCCATTAAGTCACTTTACTCCATCATTCTTTTTATGAACTCAAGCATCATAGGGTCAGTCTTAGAATTCTTAATTTTGGCTATTTTATCTGTTTTGTTTGTCACGGCCCTCAAAACATCATCGTGGACCACTTGTACCGTCGGAAGGGGGGGAACCACTACCTCCTCCACCAAACGTGTCGAGGGGTGAAAGGTGCGAGCTTAAAAGTTAGAATAGATCATATTGTTGATACCACTTGAGACATGCTTGAAGGATATGTCAAACATGATCAAATTTAAAGAGTTTGTCATGATTGTTATTGACAAAGATTGTTTTTGTTTAATTGATACTCCTACCAACACACAAACAAAATATTAAAATATAAATGTTTTACTAGATATTCACGTAGTATATAAATATACTACTACACATTTATGTAAATATTCACGTAAAATATAATAGTACATGATATAAATAAAATACATAATATGAATGATATAATAGCATAAATAATATAAATAATAAATAATATATTGACGTAATATATATGAAAAATATACGTAAATATTGTAGTATGTACATTAGAAACACAATATCATCATGCCGTATCCATCAAAAAGCATCATGATCACTCTATATTAAATTTTGTAAAATACATTTTCCTTTTTGAGTTATCCAAAAATATGATCACTTTCCAAAATAGAAATTCACTAACTTTTTATTTTCTCACTTTATCCCGTTATCTGTCATTTTATCCTTCATTTTTTGTAGATCCATCTTACTCTTTCTTACTTTTAAATGGGTAAAACAACCACTTTTATCATTTATTTTCTTAAAACCCACACCAAACCCAGTTGTATCTTACATTATGGAACCCTCGGAGGTAGTACTACTTACTTTAACCTTGTCAAAGTTGACATGTGTAGTTGTTGTTTGTGCATAGGAGAGAGATTTAACTTTTTTTAACACGAAAGGGAAATCATCAAAATAAGTGGGCTAATGTCGGGGAACATTTACCGAGATTTTATTAAAAATCAAAAGAAGTATAGAGGGAGAGGGGAACTAGGCCAAAACCTCTCCTAAAGAGGCATACCTCTTCCAAAAACATAATACTGAAAGAGAAAATAAATCATTTGGGGGGACCAAACCTTACCCAAAAATAAAAATAACAATCTAAAACTAAAATCTAAAAAGAAAGAAATAATTATATTGTGTTAAAACTGTTATGCTTTTATGAGAGAGAGGCTCTAACATCTCTCTAACCCTAGCTAATAACGTTTCTCCCTAACGACTTTGTCGTCGCGTAGGGTTTTGTCTCCCTAGTGGCTTTGCCGTCGCGTAGGGTTTCATTCCGCCAATTGTTTGTGAGGCTCTTCTTTTCTAGGATTCTAAAGTGCTTTTTAAGGAGGTGTGAGTGCGACTGCAGCCTTTGGAAACTAATCCAAGGTTCAAGAAACGATAATCATGTCTTCTATGAATTATTTATAGCAGTGTTTTCTCATTCCTGCAATTGAGGAGGAGATCGAAGGGTTAATTTCTGGCGAATCAACATGTGTAGAGGGTGAAGGACTGAGCAAGGGAGAAGACAGATCGGCGGTCCGCCCCCCTCCTGAACCGCCGCCTTGGAGCGGTCGAGATGCTAGGGTTTGGAAGATTTATCAGTTATTTAATTTTTTATGGTTTTATTTTCGCGTTTTTTATGTTGCTCTGTTTTTTGTTGATGTCTTTAGTTATTGGTCTACAATTATGATTGACAAATCTGCTAGATATTATGTCGATGGAAGGATCTATATGTGATGTCTCACATCCGTTTGGTGGTTAGCAATTCGTATTGTTCTTTCAGGGGTGATCTTCTCTGAGTCTAGCCGTAAGGTTGATAGTGCTAGTTGGTTAGGGATAGTTGTTGTCAGTGTTGGTCTTTTTGAGTTTGTTGTAACGATTCCTTTCCTATGATTTTAATATAAAGCGGTTTGTTTTGATGATAAAAAATAACTAAAACTAAAAGGAGAGAGATTTAAGAGATACTACAAATTCTTTATTTAAAAGAGAAAAAGACAAAATTAATGACAAACAACAAAAAGTTGACAAAGTTATAAAGTACCGAAGAAGTAATTACTCCATTTCTCTCATAAAAATATTCATTTGCTTTTCAAAAATGTTACTTGTACACGTTGGCTTACACAGCTATTTTCACGCCAAATGTATTTTGTTTGTGCATATACAATTCATTTTCATGTTAGTAAAGGGAACTGACTGTGACTCTGAAAAAGTGAATCGTCTGTGCACAGACAGTTTGGGGTCATAGACAATTCCCTTCGCTAAAATGAAAATGGGAGATTTCCCAAAATAGGAGTAAATGGAGTTTGGTTTGGAATTCCAAAATAGGGTTACTATGTTTTTATTCCTGAAATAGGACTAATATGTCAGTATTATTATTCTTTGTTTGCTTTTACTTACTCTCACAAAATTATTATTCCCTCATTGCAGAAACTTGTCATTTCTCTATCCTCTAACAAATCTTAATCAAAGAGTTTTTACTTTTTTTGTTCACTCAATTCAAATTAGCAACGTACAATGGGGTGGAGCTAATATATCTTAAAATAAAATTGTTTCTCTCTTAAGAAAGAAATTATTTGTTTATTACTTTTTTGTTTCCCCTCTTATTATTAAAAATTAAAGTAGACATGTTTGAATAGTAGCTAAAATAAACTTAAGTTGTAATATATAGAGCCCATTTGGTGACCCCTTTTTTCGGCTTATCGGGTTTATCAGCCACATTTTTCACCAAACACGTAATTTTTGGTTTCACGCGTTGAATTATGTAATAAGCAGAAAAAGTAAGGTTGGAGTTACTTTTCTGGCTGTATTGGCTGAAGTTACTGTAGAGGATCACTTTAGCTATTTTTCATATAACTTTTTTATTTTATTTATTAATAACAAATATTTTAAATATGATTTTTTTAAAAATGATTATAAAAAACTTGTATTTAAAATATATTTTATTAATTAATAAAGAAAAAACTACATGAAAAATAGTTAAAATAGTCACTTTCGCCAAATTCAACTAGAAAAGTAACTTTAACCAAATTTATTTTAATTAGAGAGGATTTGATTTTGCAACCAATGTTTTGGGTGAAATTAGACTGCACCTCATTTTCAAAATCATTAACATTTGCACGCCATAAGTCCAAAATTTGTGAAAGGGTGGGGTGCAAAGTCAAAAGAGTTAGAGTTAAAACTTAAAAGGGTGCATACATTAATGATTTTATAAATAAGATGTAAAGTCAAATATCATTCGAAAAATGAGGTGTAAAATCAAATTCTATCTTTTAATTATTACGTAATTCAACACACGAAATTAAAAGTTACCTACGGAGTATTTAATTAAAAATTGGCCGATAATACCCCTTTTGGGGTAGGTACTCTGAAGCTCCCCCACCCTCCCCACCCAACAGCTCATCTTTTCACTAGAGTATTGCAAAATCTCTTTCACTAGGTTTTTCCAAATTTTAAGATACGATTCTTTTACTTTAATCCAACAATTTCAATTTAACAAGACCTGTGTTTCCACTTTCCACCATTGTAGTGTATATCTTTTTTCTGTATTTTAACACAACTAAAACATACTTACTCCGTCCCTTAAAACTTTGCCAACTTTCCTATTTTGGATGTCCCACTAACTTTGTCACTTTCCCTTTTAAGTAAAGAATTTGTGATTCCAGTTAATTCTCTCTCCTCTGTACAAACCTCAAACACAAAGTTTTGACTTTATTGATCACCGTGCCTATCAAACTTGTCAAAGTTTTAAGGGACGGAGGTAGTATACGTTAGCAGTGTCAAAGAGAGATGCAGATGCTGTTATATCCTTCTTGATGCTCTTGCATCTAATGGCACAGATAAACTCATAAACCATGAAAAGGTTGAAGACATTTTCTTTATTATCAGTATAGACGGTTCATATATACTGCTTTCATGTTTCTTTTAACAAAAAACATGTTGTTGGTCCATCAAGTCATATTCAACAGCCTGTCATGCTTCTCAATAATTAATGCACAGATATTTGTTTATTGCAAGTTTGCTTCCCTTTAGCGGTTCTCAATATCCATAAATATATGGGCCTGCATAAACCAAGTATTGATCATTATACCATTTACTTTAGTGTGAAAGATTCTTTAGTAGTTCATCTTAAAATACAGTATATGTTTCTTTCCTGTGGTGTCTTTACTCTTAAAAAAACAATGATAGGTTTGGTGTACCTTAAGAAGATCATTATTGGGTTATTGGGAGTCTCTTGAAAATTAAGTGAAAATACTATTCGTTCGGTTTCACGGTTACACACTTACACCTCCTACTTCTTAGTCAGTTATTCGGCATTTCCTATATCCGAGAACTTGTATCTAAAAATTATTAAGCCATGTATGGATCTTTATACCTTTTAAATACTTGGGTGTTGAAGATTCTTTAGTAGCTGATCTTAACTTAGTTATTTTAAAAAAATCTAGTGATATCTTTGTAACCATTGATAGGTTTAGGCAGTCCTTTAAAAATCAAGTGAAATTACTACTATGTTCTGTTTCATGTTTATCTTCTGCTTCTTGCTTATTGTGGTCACATAACGGTTCAAACACAAGTATTTTCATGCACTATAAATTTTCTTTAGGTTTCAAAGAGTGCATTAAGTCACTGTAATTGCTTTATTATTTGGTACATTATGTTCTTTAATTGTTTCACTAATGTATAAAAAAACGTTTCCCTGCATTTGATGGGGCCTCATTTAAAAGTTATCTATTTCAACCATTTCAAGTGTGTGTGGTTCATAAATTCGTAAAATGAATTACATGTTTATTGATAGTTTTAAAACTTAAAGAGTAATCTATTAATGTTTATCTGTTTCATTTTACTGATTTTAAGTTTTTAACAAGTTCATTAATTCCACCTAAACTTTATGTTTGCAAAACACCGCATCTCATACTACATAAAAATATAAAATTGTGTTTCAATCAATTTGTACATGTGCAGTTATCTCAACGCTGGAGATTCGAAAGGAACAGACTGGTTACCACCAGAATGTGATGTGTCACTCAGGCCCGGATGGTTTTGGCATAAATCAGAAGCACCAAAGACACTTACTAAGCTCCTCGAGATTTACTACAACTCCGTTGGGAGGAACTGCTTGCTGTTGCTAAACGTGCCACCTAACACAAACGGATTAATTTCGAACAGTGATGTCACCAGACTAAAAGAGTTCAGAAGGGCAATTGAGAGCATATTCTCCAAAAATCTAGCTGAAAACTGTTCATTAAAAGTTAGTAGCCAAAGAGGATATGTAAATAGCAGGTTTGGACCTGAAAATGTGATGGACAGAGATCATTTATGGACTTATTGGGCTCCGACAGACGAATACACGGGACACCATTGGATCAAACTTAGCACGAAAAGGGGAAAGTTCAGATTCAATGTGGTGCGGATCCAAGAAGCAGTTGGATTGGGGCAGAGGATTAAGCGACATGAGATTTACGTGGATGGAGTTAGTGTTGTTAATGGTACCACTGTTGGTTACAAGAGGTTACATAGGATTGAAAATGGAGTTGTGGAAGGGCAAAGCGTGAAGATCAAAATAGTTGGGTCACGGGCAACGCCTTTAATATCCTCCATCGGTCTCCATTATGACCCATATTGGCATCCAATTGAGCAGCCTGCCTAACCAAGAAAGCATAGGCTAATGTTTTATGTACCTTATCTGTTTTCGTGTTCAAAATATTATTTAGACTCTATTTCGGAAAATGAAAAGAATGTGATTTGGAGATATGAATGTAAGTTTACAGTGGTAGTGTTTTGATGGGTGACTATTCAGATTTTATATAATATGCACTTTCTATAGGTGATAAGATTAATAAAAAATGTTTATTAGTTTTTATAATTAAAAACTGGACTCATATCTATATCGATTATTAGATATATACCTTATGCGCATTTTACAAAGTTGAATGGATTAAAGACTTAAGCAAGTACACCTCCAAATATATTGTTTGAGTAAATATGTTGTACGGTAACACTTTCTCTCCTCATCTCACAACTTAATGCATCTAACAAAGGCTTTATTTTCTGCAACACAACTTCAGGCGATCCCCTTACACAAAATTCATGAACAACCCCATCAATTTCAATCATGCTGAGCCCAGGAGCTTCTTTTTCTACTCCTTTACTATTCATAAGACTTCTCACTTTCTTCACATGGTCAAACTTACCAGCCTTGCCATAAACATCACACAGATTAACATAGAAAGCATGGTTCAAAGGTTGCATTGCAATCAATTGCTTTGCGACCTTCTCTCCCAATTCAAAATTCCTATGAATTTGACATCCGCCCAGCAGTGCACCCCAAACGAACACATCGGGTTCCATTGGCATACTCCTGATAAGCCCTACAGCCTCGTCAAACAGTCCAGCCCGACCCAGTAGGTCAACAAAACAAGCGTAGTGTTGGATTTGTGGGTCTAGAGAATAAACACTCTTCATTGCATTGAAAAACCAACGGCCTTTCTCTACTAGCCCAGAATGGGCACAAACATATATCAGTGAAGTGAAGGTCACATGGTTTGGCTTTACACCCGCTGTTTCCATTTCTTTGAAAAGGTCAAAAGCTTTTTTGGCATTTCCATGGAGAGCGAAGACAGAAACCATGGAAGTCCATGCGAGAACGTCCTTCTGTATCATTTTTCTGAATATTTGGAACGCTCTGTCAACATACCCACATTTCCCATACATGTCCACTAAAGCTGTAGCGATTACTGTATCATATTCAATCCTCTTTCTTATTAAGAAACAATGGATCCACCTCCCGTGATCAATAGCTCCAAGAGACGCACAGGCTGAAACAACATTAGCGATTGTGATTTTATCTGGGCTGATTGTATCACCATCTTCACCAGAAATCTGCATTTCATGGAACAATTCAAGAGCCTCCTTTTCTCTACTACCTTGAACAAACCCAGTGATCATCGAATTCCAAGTAATGATATTCTTCTTCTTCATGCTTCTAAAAAGCTCCATTGCGAAATCAAGCTCTCCATTTCTCAAACACCCTACAATCATAGAATTCCAAGACACTATATCTCTGTGGGGCATTCCGTCGAACACCTTTAGCGCACTGTTAATCAACCCACTTCCTGAATACAGACTAATCAATGTGTTTTGAATGATAACATCACAGTGAAACCCGAACTTCAAAACATGCCCATGGATGCTTTGACCCGCAAACCTTTCACCAACCCTGTTAACGCATTCTTTCAACACGAAGGGTAAGGTAATAAAGTCAGGTGAAAACCCATCAAATAACAATCTTTTGTACAGCGCTAGTGCTTTGCAAGAATCAGGGTCACTGTTCTTGGAAGCATGAGCTCTGATCATGGCATTGTATGTAAACCGACTTGGGCTAAAGATGAGTCTGAAAACAGTATCAGCATAGCTAAGAGAGCCTGAGTTGGAGACAGTGCAGAAGAATATGAGGCGTGAAATGAGGTAACAACGATCGGTTGTTAACAGGACAGGAGAAGTTAAGATCTGGGTATGAATCGGTTTTAGTTCGTTCATGTTCCTGCAATTATCTAGCAACCTTGTCAGTGTGTTCCTGAGATATAAACGTTTGGATTCCATCGTTCTCCGGCAGGTTATGAAAGATAGTGACTACTGGGAGGATTCTGTGTGTGCCAATATCCATCCAGAGCACTTCGGAAGCAAACTGAAGGAGCTTGAGCCTTGAGGAAGCAGAACTGCAAATAGAAGAGGACGAAGTGAAGATGGATTAATTCTTTTGAAGAACTTTCAATTTGAACCGCATTCGTGGGAAGTGAGACTGCATTGTTGGTAAAAATCTAAGTAGCCATAAAATTGAATAATTCAGTGTATTTTACTAGTTTAAACTAGGGCTGTCATTTTGAACCGAAAAACCGAAAACCGAACCGAAAATAACCGAATCGCTTTAGAAAACAACCGAATAGGACCGAACCGGACGAAATTGGGACCCAATAATCGGGACCCGAAAAAAATCGGTTCGGTTTCGGTTTATGTTCACAAAATATCGGTTCAGACCAAGCCGAACCGACATTTTTATATTACTAATAATAATTGTTATTTATAATAATAATAATAATAATTAATGACGTTTACTAAGGTATAATATCAAACATCGTATGTTTCTCACGAACTTGACGTGTAGCCGAGTTGATCTGCATGCGTTATTCCTTTCAGGAAACGTCGCACGTTGGAATCGCACCTATGTACTAAAATTTTGTTTTTTTAGAATTTGGCTTCTTTCCTATTCTATTTTATCCCACACCGGAAATTGAGCAGCTCCCCACTCCAAAAACATCAATATAAGCTACGTCCCCTTGGTAAAGAAGGACAAGATACGTTATGGGCTTTCATTGGGCTAATGAGGCTCATATATTGGCAAGTTTCAATGGGCTTTAGTCTATTAAATATTAGTTCAAATTATTTTCATTCAATTAGGTTGGTTTTTTTCGGTTTCTGGTAAACCGAACCGAAAAAATCGGACACCAAAAATCGGTACCCGTTCTTAAAACGGTTCGGTTTCGGTTTTAATAATTTGGTAAATTGAATTGTCGGTTTGGTTCGGGTATATACTGAATCGGTTCGGGTCCCGAACCGAATCCAGCCCTAGTTTAAACCTCATTAAAAAAATATGACTATGAATTAAATGAATATAAACGTTTTTTTTTACTATTCCTCATTTGACTTCCCGGTTATCACGGTTTTCAATTTCCTTCTCCACTATAACTTATTCTCACGGTTATCTACTTCATTTTAAACGCACAACCAGTAACCCAAAAATGTGGGTTCATTACTAGAATATTATAACTACGCAGTCCACTTCAGACTCACAACCACACGCCCAAAAACATGCTTTCTATTCCATTCTCAATCTAAGTTGCTCAGAGTATACTATCGTTTCATTACTTCAATATCATTACTATCAACTCAAATCCAAAAACGTGTTTTCTATTCGTTGCTCGTCCTAAGTTACTCGCAATTCTACCGTCTCATTCCTTCCAAAATCATTACTATATGATATATACTCCACTATCATTTATCACCCTAAGTTACTTGAAGTAACTATCAAACCATTACTACACTATCATTAATCATTATCATCTACTCCGGCCAGTTCAAACTCACCATCGGAAACCCAAAATGAATTAAATAGTCAAAATTGCATCTTATTCAATTCATGCGAGATTTATAAACAAAGGAGGCAACTGCAAAATCCGCTTTTTCTCGACCTTCACCATCTCTGTTAATCACCGTCTCTGTTCACCGCCTTATATTTCCGAGATGAAGTCTTTCCATAACCGTTTTAGAATTTTAAATATCATTTGCATTGCTCTTCTTTTTCGGACACATTTGGCATGGTGCTAGAACCCTTTTCAGAGATGTTTTTGCTGGGATTGACCCAGATTTAGATGTGCAAGTAGAGTTTGGAGTATTCCAAAAACTGGGAGATCCAACGACCAGGGCAACTAGGTCTTTTCCTTACGTCTATGTTGTGATGCATAGACGATTGTAGGAACCTGGCTTATTATTCAAGCAACTCGAATTTACAGTAGCCCTTTATTGTAATTTGCTTTGGAAGTCTTGAGTTCAGACTAGGAGTGGACTCGGGCCGGTTCGGGCCCGGTTCGGGCCCGGTTCGGGCCTGGGCCCAGCCGGGCCTCGGTTCAAGAAGGGGAGGCCCGGAACCGGCCCGGGTAACCCCCGGGTCCAGGCCGGGCCGGGCCGGGCCTCGGGTATATTTTTTTTTTGGGCTTTTCCTAGTTAACCCCCACCCCTCCCCCTCACCCCCAAACCAACCCTAACCACCTCAAATGGCCCAAAATAACCAGCCCAACCCAAAAACTCAAAAAAATCAAAAAAAAAAATAAAATTGGTCCGGCCCGGGCCCGAACCGGCCGGGCCGGTTCACCTTTTGAAGGGCCCGAGCCCGAACCGAGAATCCACCGGGCCGGGTGGCCCGAACCGCCCAACGAACCGGTTCCCGGGCCGGTCCGGGCCCGCACAGTGGCGGGCCGGTCCGGTTCCGGGCCGGTTGGCCCGGCCCGAGTCCACCCCTAGTTCAGACTTCAGACTGTTCGCTCATCAGGGAGTCTATTTTTTATGATGCATGACTTTGTAGAGAGAGAAGCACCGCCATTTGTCCACCCTTTCATATGATCTAATATTATAATCACTTTCATATTAATTTATTAGGTTATAAAGTATAATTGGAAGTCCAATATATGAAGCCAAGAACAACTATCAATTGTGTTTAAAACACAACGGTCATAAATACACAGTTAATCTTGAATAGTATAGTCGGTTTTACTAAATATTGTGATTTAAACCGCTCAGGGGCGCAAACATAATAAATCAAAAACTAATGACAATACAAAAGGCAAAAATTGGACAAGCATAGACTAGATGTGCCCTTATCTGTTTTTTTAAATAAGCTAAAACCAGTCTCTGTATATACCCAGTTAAGGTTCCTACTCCGCCCATACTTAGACCGGTCGATTCTGAACCGAAACTAGACAGTAAACAACACTTGTCCAGACCTAGTTGAAATCAATACAAAAAGTATGTGGAGATTCATAAGAGAAGAAAATGTTCCACTACAATCAGTTGTATGTTGTGTCCCGTGTACTATTATTATGTGATCACCATTTGCGGACGTTTCCTCTACCAAACTTGTACTCACTTTGTCTATCAGAAAAGATCCCTCTTCCGCCTGAGAAACGAACACCGCCTCCTCTGCGATCAGAGAAGCCACTGCTGCGACCACTTCCGTTAGTTCCATATCTTCCAC